AGAAAAGAAATTGAAGAAATGAAATATAAAAGAAAAGAAAATATTGAATGGATTAAAAAAGAACTTCAAAGAAAAATTAAAATAATAAAAGATAAAAAGAAAAGAATTCAAATATTAGTTAATAAAATTATTAAAAAAACAAATAGTGGTACTAAAGAAGAAATTATAACTGCTACAAATAAAATGAAAGATATTAATAAAAGTTTAAAACCATTAAATATTATTGAAAAAAGTATTAAACAAAAACTTGAAAGATATAATGAAGAAATTATTAATAAAAGAATTGAAGAATTTGAAAAAATAATGATTCATGAAGCACAACTTATTATTCATAAAAAAGATTTAATTAATAATAATTTAATTAAATATAAACGAAATGCACAAAATCTTAGTAAAAGAATATCTAAATGTAAAGGAAAATTAAGTCCTAAATTTTATATGAGAAGAAATAAAATTTATAATATGATTAAGAAAGAAGAAGAAAAACTAAAATTAATTGGTGAAGAAGCTATTAAAAAAGCAAGAAACATTGAATTCTATTTACTTGAAATGAATCGTCTTTTCAAAAGAAAATCAAAAGCTGATCATTTGAAAATTAAAAATCTTCTTAAGTTGAGAGATACAATTGTCTGTCAAATATCTCGTAAATTCTATGACAACAACATTAAATCCCTTACTAATCAAATTAAACTTAGACTTCATAGAAATAAACACATTAATACTATTCTAAATAATCTCATTAATGAATTAAGAAATCCTAATGGTAAATATTTATTCTCTATTCTCAATAACACAAATTCTCTTAATCAAATTTGTTCCATTTGTGAAAATATCGGAAATTATGTCATTGACAAAATCGCTAAAGGTACTCCTCATCTTCTTCTTACTAAAAATGTCCTCAACTATTGTCAATCCTCTCCTAATGAAAGACTTTGTTTAGAAAGTTTCATGAAAATCCAACTCATCGATTTATCTCATGATTTACCTGCTTCTGGAAATCAACTTTGTACTTCATTAGGTTTCTGTTCTAAAAGCTGGTAATTGACAATCATTTATATTTTTGAATTTACTGTTTTATTCAACACTTAGATAAATAAATAGAAACAACCACTTAATTATAATTTATAAAACATCGTTCAGGAAGAATATAATCTTTAAACAAACGATAATGACACTGATAAAAACAACTATCCCCAAATTTTACAAGAGAAGAGCATAAATTGATTTGTGTTAATGAGGTGCATTTCTTAAAAGCACAGACGTCAATTGAAGTTACTGTAGATGGAATACTTATTTGGTAGAGAGAGAAACATTCACTAAACGTGTAGGGATTTATTTTGTTAATACACGGAATATTAACTGAACGAAGAGAAGAACAACCACAAAAAGCAAACGAACCTATTGATGTTATTGTTTGAGGTAGTTGTACTGATACTAAATTAGTGCATTGAGCGAAAGCGTTATCACCAATTGAAACTAAATAAGGGGGAAAAGATATTTGAGAGAGAGAATGACACCCATAACATAGTGTTGGTGGTAAAGAAGTGATATTTGTTGACAATATCAGATGACTAACTTTAGCACAATTTTTGAACGCACCGTTTCCTAATTCTGTGATTTCATTTGATAGTTTAATAAATGTTAGTGAAGAACAATTCAAAAAACAATCAGAGCCAATACTTTGGATGTGACTCGGTATTTGTAAGAATTTTTTGTTTTCTTCTTTTTGTTGGTCTGTTGGTTCATTAGCACTATCTTCAAGAAAGTCAGGTTGAAGATTTAGTGAGACGCTTTGATGCTTTGAATGATTTAATTGAGGATTTTCATTAACAGAATTTAGAATATTATTATTTAAATTGTTAATGATAGAACAATGAGGACGCGGAGAACAAGGGATAATTTTTTCGAGTTTCGAATCAGCAAATAGCTCTTTTCCAAACGATTTAATCAGTTTAGGAATTTTATTACCAAATTTCATACGATCATTTAATGTATATTCAATACATTTAAATTTAGTTTTTTGTTTATTAGAAGTAAAGAAGAATCTAGAGAAAGTTATTTTACAATCATAACAATAAAATTCAATTGTTGGTATTCTTTCATCTGTTGGAAAATATAAGTGTTGAGTTTGAATTAAAGGGAATAATTTTTTAGTTTTAATAGATATTGGATTCCATCTAAATTTTTTTAATGTTTCATTTAATTTTTTACAAACACAAATAATATTAATAAAATCTTCAGGTGTTTTAAGGTATTGACAAATTATGAGTACTGAATATGAGTCTAACTGTTTTGATTTGTTCATGAAATTTATAAAAATGTAATAAAAAGTTTAAGTTTAAAATTATATATGAGAAAATGATGTTCATAAAAAATTTTACAATAAATAATATTTCTTTTATTCCCCTTCTATTTCAAAACAAAGAATTTAATAAATTTTTGAAGAAAATAACAAAGAATTAAAATATAAAAAACCAAAATAATAACACTGTACAAACAATGAATAGTTATCATTCTTTAGTTGACAAAACCATTAAATTTTCTTTGAAAGATTAAAAGCAAAATCAAAAATTAACCACCAACGATTTATTTGGTCAGATGGTAGTTTATTATGCCAATCTTGATCAAACTCTAATTTTTCTCCTGCAACGACAATTTCTGGTTTGCCATTAGAGTTTATTTCTTGAATTGGAATTAATGAAGCAATTTCTTCCATTGGTCTATTATTTACTTTTAACAATTTCACAAAATTAATAAAAAACAGACGAAGAACAGTTCTTGTATCATCACTTGGACTAACAATATGATCAATAATAACTTTATCATTTGGTGTTCTAAAAACACAGTGGTTGTCTGTTTTAATTTTTTGGTAAAACCCAAGGCTTTTAAGAAATTCTTCATGGTTCTTTCCGAGTATTATTGATTCGTGGGGCATTAAGTAGTTATAAATTTTAAGTTCTTCTTTTTCTTTTTATAGTATAAAGAATATTCTGGAATTTATGCTCTAAAAATAAACTAGGTATGAAAATTTTTTGATTTTTGAAAAAAAGACTAACATAATTCAAATTAAAGAATATCATCTTCTGATGCTTCCCCATAATATATTCCGAGAATAGCAATAATAACATTATATGATGGTAATATACTATCATGTGGATCTAGAATTGCATGTTTTGCACGGCAAAGATATTTTAAAATATTATTTAAAGTAGCAGAAACTTCTGGTTCAAAAGGAGATTGAAGAAATAGTAAAAGGGCATATAACCATTCTAAGAATACATGAGGGTAAGACGTTTTTGATTTACAAATATTTCTTGAATAATTAAGTAATTCAATAATTTGTGTATTCTGAAAGGATGCAAGATATTCTATTTTCGGAGATTGTTTGATTAGTTTATTGTATTCATCAAATGATGGAAATGGATAACTTGAAGGTGGTAGTCCTGAAATGATTGACTGAATTTCATTACGATGAGACGTGAACCTATCTTTATAAAGAAAGAGAAACTCAGGAACAATTCTGAAATTTACTCCAGGATCAGGAATTCTGTTTATTGGTAAATGTGGTTCAGTTTGAGTTTGTGGTAAAATAAGACATTGTTGAGAACAAGCATTTCTACATTCTTCATTTTTTTTTAAATAAATATAAACATCATGAAATGGATGTAATGGATCTTCGAAGCCATCAGGAAGAGTTAGCGATTGTTGTGCGTATTGTTCAACTTCAGTGTTGTTACTCATTTGATTAATTATTTAAGATTTTTTCTAGAATTTTTAAAATAATATACCATCTTCTTTGAAGTATTAGCATTTCATTTAAAAGATTTATACTTTGAGTACTTCATCAGGTATCACCTTTTTATTCAATTTTCAAATTTATTGTTCAAACTAGTTTTTGTAAATAATACACTCAACTCAACTATCATCATGACTATTTCATAATACACTAAAAATTAATTTAGCGTTGAAACCATTTTTATCAAGAAGAAATTCTTGCATAACAGAGTACCAACTAAGATCAAATAAACTTTATTAAACGAAATATAGAAAAAAAAAGATAAAGAACAAGTTGTCTAGTATTAAAAGAGTGAAAGTGATAGTAAAAAATAAATGAGTAATAACTATAACAAAGAATAATAGAATGTTTTATGAAAATAAAATCTTGATAATAAATAGATAAATTAAAAATGAAAGTTAATCACGGAATAAAAAAATTACTTCTAAAAATGTAATTTGTAATATTTTTTAAATAGGAAACATTTCTATAAATTGAATAATTAAAAAAAATTAACATAAAAAAAATAAGTTATAAATGATATTATGGAAAGATTGAAATTTTTTTATTTGATAAAACAGTTAGTTGTATAAAGTATGTCTTTTTTTTCTTTAAATAGAAGTATTTGAATAATATATAAAATATGTCAGACGTTTTGAAAAGAATAAATATCAATTCTATAAATTTATTTTTTAATAAATTTTTTTTAAAAATGAATAATTGAAATAATTTTATTTATTAAGTGAAATGAAAAACAATTAATCATTTTAAACGATTTTTTATTAATTAAAACAAAAAACAAAAACACAAATAAACAAAAAAAAAGGATAAAATTATCAATAATATAATTGTTGTTGAGGAACCATTGATTGGACTTGAGGAGGAACTGACGCAACAAATATTTTTGATTTAATTGTTTTGTACAAATCACAAAGTGTTGAAGCTAAATATTCTGAATTTGTTTTTGAACAACAAAAAGTTCTTGTTCCATTTGATTTATGAAAATCACATTTAAAATTATTATTACAAGTCCAACAAACTAAAGGTTTATAGAAATTATAAATTGCATTAGTATTTGGAATAATTTCTTTAAATCTATTAACACATTCAACAAAATCGTCAACAGAAAACATAGTATTAAAAACACTTCTTCTTACATCAGAGACTTTAGCTTGAGAAGCTAAAAATTCAATACATTGAACACTTGATATAAATGGTGTACAAATAACAATTGGTAACATTGATGAATCACTATATTTTGACATATTTGATTTAATAAATGAGTTAATTTTTTTCCATAAAAAATCAAAATCAGTTTGTGGAACTGGATTATTTTCTTGTGAAATTCCATGTTCAAAATCTGTATAGTGCTTAGAATTAAGAAAATGTTGAATAGGAATTGGTTGATTAATAATCGTTTGAAAACACTCAATATTAATTGTTCCATTTAATAATGTTGGTTTAATACAAATCTCTACTGGAACTGTACAAATATCAGTTTTATAACTTATTTGAAAATCTAAAATAAAAAATAATTGTTGTTCTACTCGTGGTCCAAGTCCATTAAGTATTTGAAATAATGCATCAGCCCTTGACATCTTTGTTTTATTCTATTTTTTAGTTTTTTCTTCTTTCTTTTTTTTTTTAATTAAACCTTTTTCCTATTTAATGTAATAACATTATTTTCTAAAACAAAATAATGCTATTTTTTATTTACATTTCGAAATAAATGAGGAATTTTCCTTTTTGATTTTTAATAATTTAACTTTTCTATATATTTCCAAAATCTTCTGGTGCAGCGTAATGTCTAAAACTGGATCTACACCAAATAAAAATAAACTCATCCCGAACTTCTCTATTATAATTTATTTTAAAAAAATTAACTATTTTAAATAGTAACAATAATAAAAAAAGAAATCCAAAAGAGAAAGAGGAAATTGATTAACCACAACATGAAAACTTAAAAAAGAAAAAGCTAAAGAATTAAGGAAAGTGAATAATAATGAATGTCCCGACTCTGAACAAATTTTTTTGTCTATAAAACCAATGTACATATACTATAAACGAGTAGAAATTGAAATACAAGCAATTCAAAAAGCATTTCCTATGTCACCAACAGTTTTACCTCATCCTCTTAATTATTCACAGTATGCAACTTTAGTTGGAACAATTCCAATTCAATATTTAGGTGTTCAATATAATATTCCTATCATGGTAATGTTTCCTTACGACTATCCTATGAAACCCCCTTTCTTTTTTACTGACCCTTCTCCTGATATGGTTATTGTCCCTCAACATCCTTACGCTATGGCTGATAGAACGATCGTTCATCCTTTATTACAACGATGGAATGATTCATCAAACAGTTTAGATGTTTTAGTTTGTCTTCAACAAGATTTTTCTAATTATCCTCCTCTAAAGAAAAAAAAGGAAAATCTTTCAGAAATTCAAGCTAATCTTCAACAACAAATTCAACAGTTAAAACAAGGATCTTCTGATGATAGAACTGGTCAATGGAAAGAAAGAAACGGTATTAATCCTCATTCCCCTTATTCAATTTCTCCTCCTTTCACTCCATATCCATACCAACATCAATCTTTCTATCCTCCATATGGATATAACACTTCTCCCTATTGTCAACATCCATTAGATTATTATCAAACAAATAATTTATATCAATTTGGGTATAACCCATTTCGTCTATTACCAAAACCAAATGGAATACAACCACACCCTAACTCTGCTTTCCGTTTTGATTACAGTCATCAATTTTTGCCTCAAGTTGATCCTTCACTTCCTCAAACACTTCGTTCTACTACAAGTCAACAAGAATTTAGTCAAATTGCTCAAAAACTTAAACAACAACAAGTCAATAAAAATGAACCACTACCTGATGTTAGTACTTTATCATTGAAAGATATTGACCAACTCCTTGTAGAAGGCAAAATAAGTATTGAAACATATAAAAGAATGTATATCGATTATCAAAGAAGGGTGCATAAGAAGTAAAAATTTAAACCATGGTATTTGTATATTATTTTATTAAGTGAATTTAATCGTTCTTCAATAATTCTTCTCTTGTTTATTTATGAATTAATACTTTTCCTTATTATTAAAACGAAAGAAATAAATAAAAAAAAAATTTCTTTTTTAAGCTTTCTTTTCAACTCATATTTTTTTAAATAAAAAGAATAAAGTCGAACAAAGAGAACTTAAATTAATTTATGGAAGGAATCACTAAAGAAAGCAAAAAACCATTAACTAAACGACAACGAGTAGCACAAGAAATTTTAGCTACAGAAATTAGTTATGTCAAATCTTTGGAAGACTGTGAGAAGTATTATCATGAAGTACTTAAGCAATCAAAAATAGCAAAACAAGAAGAGGTTGATGATGTTTTTAGAGATTTTGATCAAATTATTGCAGTAAATGAACAGCTTAAGAAAACATTAATGAGTACTGATGAAAATGAAGATTTAGAAGATGTTATTATAGTTAAATTTAAGACAATAGTCCCTTTCTTAAAAGCATATAAACAATTCGTTAGTTATAATGAAAAAGCATTTAATATTATTGCTGATTGGGAAGAAAATAAATCTATGAATGAGTTGCTTGAACAGTGCAGAGAAAATTTACCTGGTGATATCAAACATGATTTACGTTCATTTTTAATCATGCCAGTTCAAAGACTACCTAGATATGTATTATTATTAAAAGAGCTTCAAAAAAATACTCCAAAAGATCATAAAGATTATGGTATTCTTAATGAAACATTAATTAAAATGGAAGAAGTGACTAAAGATGTAAATGAATCTATTAAAGAATCTGAAAGAAGATTAGCACTATTCCGAATGAAGAAGGTTTTAACAAATTATTCTGCTTTTAATGAAAGTGTTGTTAAAAAAGGGGAAAAGTATGAAAAAGATATTGTTCAGGCTCATAGATTTTTTGTACAAGAAGGTGAATTAACAAAAGTATGTCGTAAAGCAAACAAGGAAAGATATTTTGTATTATTTAATGATATTCTTATATATGGAGAAGGAAATGAACATTCTGTACAAATTAGTGAAGTATTTAAAATGAAAACAACAATTATTAAAGACAATAAAGACACAGATAAAATTCAAAACGCATTTCAGATAATGAATTCAGAACGAAGTTTTGTTGTGTTTGCTAAGAGTAAAGAAGAAAAAGAGTTATGGTTTAAAAATATTAGTGAACAAATAAAAAATGCTAAAGAAACTATTGGAGACAAGGGTCAAGATGAATTCATTCGTCCTGTTTTTGTTCCTGACAGTGATTCACCTGAATGTGCATTATGTAAAGTTAAATTTACTTTTGTTAATAGAAGACATCACTGCAGAAAATGTGGTAAATGTATTTGTGGAGAATGTAGTAAAGGAAGAATTCCAATTACACCACAGAGTACTGTTTTAGAACGTGTTTGTAAAGTGTGTTTTAATGAATATTCATCAAACCATCCAGATGATAGAAGATTAAGTAAAGTTTCTAGTTCGAAGAAATTAGTGAAAGAAAAAGAAAAAAAGAGCGAAAATTCTGAAATACATGAGGCAAAAGATGGTAGCAAAGAAGAGTTTAAAAATGAAAGTATAAACGATGTAACAAGGGATAATGAAGAAACAAAAGCAGAAGGTGCTAAATTAGAAGAAACTAAAAGTATAGAAGAAAATGGTATTATTTCATCAATTAGTATAGCCAATAATAGAGCTTCTAAATGGGTATTAGGATCAAAAAGTACAGCTGGAGATAAACAACCACCACTAACAAGGCCACGAGTTTCTACAAATTCAAGTAAAAATAAAAGCGCATTTTTTAAACAAACAGGACATAACCCAGCATTAGTACAAAATTTTACTTCAGAGCTTTAATAATAAAATTCATATTTTACAAGACAAATCAAATGTAATCAACGAAGAAGTCAATTTTGATTAATTTTTCAATAATAACGTTATTGATATTTTTTAAAGTCAATTTATGAATGAACATTAAAATAATGAAGAAGTTACGTACTTCATTGATTTTTTAATTTTATTTAGTTGTTCAATAACTAAAGAATTTGAAGAGAATTTAGAGAGTTCAAATGAAGAAAGAATATTGTCAAGATTTCTTTCTTGTAAATTATCAATAATATGATAACAAAAATTTGTTTTCTGATCAAACTCAGAAAGGATAAACACACAACTAAGAAGTTGAGTAATAAATTTTGTATTATCATCATCAAAGAATAACATGAACATTAAATAAAAGTCTTTAATAGATAATAATTTAAGTAATTCTTTTGGTGATTTAATTGATAAAATACAATTAGTTACAAGCCACCCAATTTCTTTTTTAAATTCAAAATCACTATAATTACTACTAATTAAAGGTGGTAAATCTACAAAAACATTTGATATTAATGTTGGTATTACTTTTGTATTTGGTATAAGAACTAACTCAGATAATACAAAAGCTGCATGAACTTTTGTTTTACTATCACATTGTGAATGGATAATAATATTTAAATGACTTATTACATTATGTTCAAATAACCAATTTGCACTGGAAACATCATTATCAATATAACTAACTAATACAGCTAATATAGCACCAATAATATCATTATTTGTAGTTGATAAACATGAAAGAATTGTTTCTAATAGCTCAGAGTCCTGAAATTTACAAATATTTTGTGGGTTAGAGACTATAAAAGAAAATCCCCAAAGTGCATCAGCCATAATTTTATCAAATTTCTTTTGTTTGATTGAAGACAAAATGTAAGGAAGTAACATTTGTACTTTCTCTAAATCTACAAATGGTTGACCTCTACATAAATTTGAAATCAAAAACATTAACCTTTCTTTCATTGGTGTTACGTTACTATACATACTAGCTAATTTTTGAATCAAGCTTACAACATTTTCTCCAAGGAGGTAATCTCTTGTTTCCGCACGATCACCAGCTATATTTCCAATTAGTGTAATAACTGTAATTCTTAATTCAGTTGGTGCAGTTTCTATTTTATGTGAAAGAGCATAGATTATCTTTTCATTAATAAATCCAGTGACAAAGTCTGACGACTCAAGTAAAAGTAAATTGATTATCTCAATCGAAAGTGCAGAAACTGATGAGTTAGGATGATTAATAAAATTGACAAGAACTGGAATAAGTCCTGTTGGTTCAATAACTTTGTAACTTGTATATCCATTTAATTTTATCCCCTGAAAAAGTTGTTCTAACAACTCTTTAACTCTTTCTGGAACGTTTTGTGATTCAACTAAAGAATTAGCAAAATAAGAAATAGATCGAGTGTGTTGCCTGCGTGCGCTTGGTGATTCTATTGTTTGAGTCTGACGTTGTAATTTCCCTGTCCCACGAACCAAAAAATCATCCTCATCACCTTCTTCCATTTTTGACTCTTCTTGAACTTGTGATTGATACTCTGTTCTCCGTTTTGCTAAAGATTGCACTCTCCTTGAAGTCCTCAGCTGTGACCTTTCTTTCTGTCGTGCTTCTTTATTTTCATTAATAAAATCAAATCGAATGTTTGACATAGTTAATCAAGTTTTGAAACACCCTTTTCAGTATTTTTTTGATTTTTTTATAAAAAAAAGAAAAACTTAAAATGGTATAATAATTTTTATTTACATACTAACTTATCTTTATTCATGATTTATTTGTTTTTCCTTATGAGGATTAATAAACTAGTTTCTTCATTAGAGATTGTTCTGATACGAACATTACTTTTTCTAAAATAGTAGAACTATATTTTTTCTATGCCGAAGGGTTATTCTTCAGTTCATAAAGACAATAATATCATCACTTTGATGGGATAGTCTTCCTTATTTTTATATTTTCACAGCATTTCTTAATTTGTCAATACCTCATAATCGTCTTACATGCCGTGGCCTAATCTGGCTCAACCAAACAGAACTTCAATGAATGTACAGTAATTACTGTTGCACATCGATTACAAAGTATTATGGATACTAATAAAGTGTTTGTATTTGATAAAGGGAAATTAGTAGAAAATGATTCTCCTTCTCATTTAATTGATAACGAAAATACTATCTTTAATCATCTTGTCCAACAATCAGGTTGTGCTGATGAACTAAAGAGAGTTGCTAAGAAAAAGATTGTCATGTGTACTTCTGCTTTATCATCAACTAAATCACCTCTTCAAACTGATTTAAATCCTGATTTAGAAATTAATCTTGCTGATACATCTAATAGAGCTACTCCAATCCAATTTGAAGTGATGAGTGATAGAGTTGCTTCTAATCGTCATCTTCTTTCTCCTGTTGTTATAAATTCGATTCCTGATACTTCTTCTCCATCTGAATCTTCTTTATCTAATTAACTTTTTTGATTCTCTTCCCACTTTCTTATCTTCTAAATGTTTTGTGTTATTTTTTCAATTTCTTTTTAATCTCTCTTCTGTTTATTCCTTTTATACTCTTCTTTCTCTCTGTGACTTCTCTTATTTATTAATGCATTGTTCTTCTTTATTTCATCTCCACACTTCCTTTATTTGTTTCTTTAAAACATTATCTCCTTTTCTCTTCTCTTTATTATTATATCTATCTCCACTTTCCCTTCCTTTTATCTTTAATACCTCTCTCTTTCAAATGTTTTAAAACCAGTTTATAAGGTATTGGATGTGCAGACTTTTGTTTGTTAAGAGGTATATCTTGTTGTGGCTCTTGGTTGTTACTGAAAAGTTCAATTATTGGAAAACAAGAAATCCTTGGAAAGGTGAGAAATAGTCATAAAGAAAAGAGACTAAGAGGGGTTTAATATACTAACTGATAACATGAGATTGGTGGACTATGTTTTCCAAGTTTGTTCGAAAAGAGTGACAAAAGAATGATGAAGTATCAACAAAGAGAAAAAAAAAAGGAATTAATCAAACAAGATAAGGAGAATAGTTTAATACTATTTACCTGCTGAAATTTTCATTGAATTGAGGACTGATCAGGTTTGTGTCTTCAGTGTAGCTTATTCCTTTTGAAATAAAGTTCCTTTCAGGCCTATTATTCAAATGTTCTTCATTTAAACTCTTACTTGAATTTTAGTTTAAAATAAAGAAGATTGCTTGAAATTCACCATTATGTACATCAACACTTTATCTTAAGAAGAGCACACCCATAAAACATCACGGTATAGTCAATTTTCTTTAATGTCAACAACCATCTGTAAAACTCATTTTTAATCGTAACAACACCTTATATATGCTTAACCCTAAACCCCCACTAGCAAACGGCAATCACTAACTGTTTTAAACGGGGTATTACTGTTTTACCAAAGTCAACACTATAGGCATACAATAATTGTGAATTTAAAGTTACTTTCGTTTTATGATTTTTGTGTGATACTGCTGAGATCATACCCCTTTCTTTTTTAGAGCAAACCGAATGAAAAGATAAAAGAAGAAAGAATTAAATTTTAAGAAGAATGAGATTGCGAATAGCAGAGTCAATGTCATTAAGTTGAGATTCCATAGTTTGACCCACAATTTCAAGATTTCCAAGTTCATTAAGAGTATCTTGAAGTTTTGTTATTGAAAGAGACCAGTGTTTAGTTTGTTTAGAGAGTTGGACTGCATTTAGTTGGAGTTGTTTGTTGAGAGTCTGAATCTCAGAAAGGTTAGAAAGAAGAGGATGAAGAGATGAAATGGAATTATTTCTAGTATTAATCATTAATTCAGAAAGGGCATTGGAAGCGTTGAGGCGTAAACGAGCATTTTCAGCACGAAGAGTTTCAGTTGAAAGACGATGAGAACGGATGATAGAATCCATTAATAAAATTAAAAGTGAAAAACTAAAAAATAATAAAAAATAAAAACACAAAATTAGATTTTTTAAATAACAAATGATTATTTTATTTTCTTCAATATACTCTGTTTCTAACATCAATTCTCTTATATAATGTACATAGAATATTAATATTCTAATATGTTATCAGAATAAATATTATATATTTTATCATTTTAGTGATAAATAATTATATTATAATGATGAAATATAAATATAATTCTAATGTTTTTAAACAACATATTGAATCTTTACATATTAAAATATTAATAATACAATGAATAATTCTATATATATTAATTATTTTAATTTCTCAATAATTCATTATATTTATTTTATAAATATAAATTAATTTGATATTTCTATCTTAAAATATATCAACATGAATAATTTATTATTTCATATATTTCATAATTTGATAATATATTTTATCTTCTAAAAGAAAGAATTATAATTAATACAAAATATTAATTTCAACAATATTAATAGATTTATGATGAATATTAAAATTAATTTCATCAAAATAATTAAATGAATAATTAATATATGTATTTAATTCTTCAATGTATTAAGAAGATATGAATAATAGATGTAATAATGATAAATGAATAGAATAATAAGAAATGAATTAGATTTAATACATCATATCATAAACACTCATTCTTTGATATATATTACAATGATAAAATAAATATTTTTATATTTAATAATAATTATTTGATTATTATTAATTTTATATTATTAAATATCGGGTTTCAATTCATATATTCAATAGTTTCATTTAAATAACATTAAATTCAATTATTATTATTATTATTATTATTATTATTATTATTATTATTATTATTATTATTATTATTATTATTATTATTTAATTAATTTTTATATCACATTTTCATTTAAATTGATTACATTGATTCATCATAATATTCTTATCAATATTTTCTTCATTCTTTTAATTCATTTTAGATATCTATTATTAATATCACTAAATGAATTATTTGATATTTATATTTAAATAGGGTAAAATAATTTGAATCAATAAAATAATAGTTTTTATTATTTTGCTCCAAAAAACTAAAAATAAAAAAGTAAATTAAATACTCATTCCATATTCATTTATATTTGTTTATATTTTATATCATTTTATGTTAAATTGTTCTGAATTATAAATGATTCAGAAATGATATTTGATTCAATGTAAGTACATATTTTTATTATTATTTTATTATTATGTTATTTTTATATTTTATGTATTTTATTATTATATTTATTTTTATTTTTATATTATATATATATCATCATTTTATCTATATATATTATATTTATCTTATTTTATTAATTTTATATTATTATTATTTATATTTTATTTTATATATGAATATATTTTTATTTATATATAATTTATTATATATGAATATATTTCATTATCTTATTTCATTTTTATTATATTTTTATAATTTATATCTATTTTTTTTTATATTATTATTATTTTATTTATATTATATTGATTTTATTTATTATTTCATTTATATATTTTATTTATTATTATATCATTTCTTTTCTCTTATTATTTCTTTATCATTTATTATTATTTATTTAATTGTTATATCTTCTATCTATATCATATGAAATTAATATTTATTATTTATCATATATTACATATTATATACTAATCATATAACATCTATAACTGATTAATAATAAACACTAATAATAAATAATACATATAAATAAAAATTATAAAAATAAAAAAGAATAAAATAAATATATCAATAAAATAAAGTTAAATAAATTGCATCAATAAATTAAACACTTTTATTACATATTTCTAATTTCTGTAATAAAACATACACATATTATTTCATCCTTCTTTTCATCATTTATTATCTC